ACATGTGTTGGGAAAAGAGCCTGATGTCTGGGCTCTTCCTCTGAGCATTTTGGGGAGGCCTCGCCTTCACAGGATGATGGTATTTGGCTTATGCCCACAGGGGACAGGAAAACCATGCCTCACAACCCCCAGGAGATGTCCTTCTGAAATGCTTCTTCTTGCCACAGCAGGCTGCAGGTCAACTCCTGATTTTTCAGGCGCTGTAGCATGAATCACTGCTACTCTGCTCAGTTCCAAGTTAACCACACTCTCCTCCCGTCTGCAGATCTGATGGCGGTGGCTGCCGGTGGCTGCTGCCCCAGGCTCACGTCCCTTTGGTTCAGCCTCCAAACCCTCTCTTCTAATTCCCATGCTTTGTGAAAAGCTCTGGGGCAAGCTCAGCAACAGCAGCTTGCTCGTGCTGCCAACTTCTTGAATTTTCCTCCATTTGAACTATAATCAGCCGAGCTAAACTCAGTCAGTATTTTAATAAAATGTCAATTTCCTGAACTGTAAATGTGCACAAATGGTTAAAGGAAAAGGTACATTAAATATCAGTTGTTCAATCAAAAGATTAATTCCATAGGAGTTCCCTAAGAAAATGTTACTTCCAACAGTTGATGGAGCAAAAATGACCGGATCATAGGTCCTGGGTGATGCACCCAATTCAGAGAGCTTTCACTAGAGATTTCTAAGTCTCTGAATCCCAGAAAATGCTCTGTTATTTTTCTCAGTAGCTTGTTTCCCCCCATTATGCCAGTTCCCTGACTTCCTGTTTCCTGAGCACACAGTTAATAGCGGCGGATAAAGGCACAAAGGCTTACAAGTGACCTCTACATGCTTCTAACTCAACTTGAGAAAAGCAAAGCAGTGAGTCAGCCAGGCCCAGGATTTGCCCTGTACCAAGAATTACCAATTGGGTTGATAGTATTTACTAAATCAAATTGCCCTCACACTGAATTGAGCAGCTGCAGCATCAACCAGGGCATGGAGAGTGTATTAGGAGTAGTTCTTACCAACAAGAGGTTGAGGCTCACATAAATTTTCAGGTCTTGCAATGGAACAGTGGTGGCTGTAAAACGCTTCACTCCACCACTTGACATCATGTCCCTCTGTGACTTCTGGGAGTTTGTGGCCTTTCTACAGCTCAGCTGTTCCACTGACCTATTTCAGTTTTCGAGTCCTATGGCAGCAAGGGAAGAAGGGAGGTGTTTGAGCCTGGTGACTCCAAGTCCTCTTTTAGGAAGCAGTTATAATCAAAATGCAATTTCACTCTTGTTAATCTGTTCACAGCAACGGGAATCAGCCCACTGGGGAGCAAGTAGCAAGCCACAGGAAGGAACCACCATCCTGCTTTGCTGGGCCCTTGAGCTTTGGGCCAGCCTCTCTGGGATTCTCCAGGTTCTAAATGAGCCACAGGAGGGCTCCCCGAGGTGCTCTGGAATGCAGAAGCAGGTGGAGAATCACAAGGAAGGCTCAACTCAAGGCACAGACACAAACAATTTAGGTTCAAAGGGCTTCCCCGCCCAGGCGGTTGCTCAGACGGCAGTAATTGAGGACGGGGGAGAAGAAAGTGACAGGTGCAGTGGACACCAGTCCAACAAGAGCCCAGACAGCAGGTGAGCCTTGTTCACCCTTGGTTTAGCAAAAGGCAAGGTGCCACTGTGATCCCACCGTGTAAAGTGAGCTGGTCCCAACCCTAGACATGGGGCATCCCGACTCCCCTCCTCTGATCCATGGGAGACCCCACAGTGCCCTACAGGCCAATTTGGAAGAATAATTGCCCCTACCCTGTGCTTAACATCCTTAGCACTGAAGGGCACTGCCATGCCTGGGCATTCAGATGGGCCTGGGAGAGTCACACCCAAGCCTTTAACACCTGTAACCCAGCGGCCCGGGCACCTCCCTCGCGGCGATCACGCTCCTCCTCTAACCTGAGCCACTGAGAGGCCAAGAAGTTAACCTTCAATCTTCGAGAGGCGGTAGGAGCAGCTGTTGGCTTCCTAGGAGGAATCTCTCTATGTCTATATCCCTCGACTCCAAAGTTGATCCACAACCCCGAGCAAACAGGACTGTGAAGCTACTCTACCTTGCACTGCTCACATTGTTAGAGAGCAGACTGAGGGACACCCCAGAACCCCCAAACTTGCACACTCTAAAGGGACTCTTCCATTCGCCACATAAAGACACATCATACTCCTAGTGTGAAAGGTCTTTAATAGAATGAGTCTGCATCCAGCGGGAAGAGGAAGGCTGTAGTTTCCCAATCAAACACTCAAAGTTACCCATCCTCCCGTGGGTAAGCTCCCCGTCACACAGCGTTGAGTGGGGCCACCGAGGGCTGGAAGCTTGCCACACGGTGCAGGCACCTTCTGGCAGGGAGGCATAGGGAAGGGCAGAAGGGCCGGGCAAGCCTGGGATGAAAGGAGCAACACTGAAGTACAAATCAAGACTAAGTCTGCCACTGGCAGCCTCCCCACGTGTCTCACCCATGTCTCTTCCAAGTGTCCATCTATGGCTCAACTCTACGTGATTCCTGCAGGCCCCCCAAGTCCCTGGTGCACCTCCAAAGCCGAGAAGCGATGGCTTCTTGTGTCTCTCTCTCTCCAAGCGTCTCCCTTCCAGGGCTCTTGGGTGTCTCCCACTCCCCCTGGCTGCTCAGCTCCACCCTTGTTAGGTCCCATAGGAGACATGGAACCTTCCTTTTTTTTTTTTTTTTGAATAAAAGATTTATTATTTTCTTCTCAGGAAAAACAGGAAGTTAGGGAAACACTACATTTTACAGCCCGCATTAATCTGTAGTTGGTCCTAAGCCTTCCTGGCAACAGCTGGCAACAGCATTAACTGTTTAACCAGAACCAAAATGTCAACCCCCAGAGAATACGCATGGATGACACCAGAGACCCACATGTCTTTCCCTGAGAGAAGTGTAAGACAGACAAGTTGCTGAGAGCCACCTTTCCAAGCAGCCCCTCCCTTCCCATCCTGGAGGATTTGCCTGTGTGATGCAGCTAGTCAGCAATTTTACAACACTTGCCTCTTCTCCCTATAAACCAACCCCCCCCCTTTTCCCAAAGCACTTGGGCTCCCCAACCATCACAACCCCAACACAACATTTCAACTGAGACCCTCACCTACATTTCAACAGTCACACCTAGTAAATTGGAAATGGGGACCCTAAACTCCACCAGTTTTCATCTATGCACTTACTTCCACACAGGGTATGGGGAAACAGGCCTTTTCGCCACCATAACCAGATCTTAAGATCGAAAACTACATAAAGTGCTTGTAGGTATTTGAGAGACACATGATATAAATAAGTGGTTTATGATCAAGATAAATACACAAGCAAAACAGCTCTAGTTAGATTACCTATGGCTCGGAGGTGGGCAGGCATGACAATTCTCCCATTACATTCTCAGTCATTTAATTTATGCCTATTTTTATCTGAAGTCCACAGATTAAAGGTCATGTTCTGAAGTTTTTAGTTTACCAGTAGCTTTTTTTGTAACTCTTTGAGACTTCATGGACCCCACTTCTTTGTATAAAATTTAACATTCAAATGCAAAGGAATATAAAAGAAAAATCATGATTGTTTCCCTTCTACGGAAATCCCTAAAAGGACTTTTCCAAGTAATGACAGAACCACCAAAAGGGTGCATTCAAAAAAGGGACTCCTCCCACCTCAAGACTGCTGCCATAGCAAGCCAGGACACCACTACCCCCAACATACAATTTGTGAAAGCTGGAGGTCTGTGGACTCCAGGGGAGAGCAGTGGGCTTACTCAGATTACTAGTACCAAGCTCCAAAAGGACTAACAGTTCAAAAACGGCTAGGTTCAGACGCAGGAAAAATCTGTTCAGGGAGCAGAATAAGCAGCAAATATTCAAAGGAAGAATAGCAAATAAATGATAAGTTTTAAAGAATATCAAATCCGAATTCAAAGAGATGCCAGTGCAAAAATTTGAAACAAAGTTTGGGAACCAGTAATAAAAATGAAACAGTAAGTATTTGTTTTATTGATAAACTAGGCTCAGACCTGTCCTTAACAAACAAGCCTAATAATAGCACCATGGTTAGACTATAGCCTGCTTTTCTTCAGTCTAACGCTCTCCCGGCTAAGCTATTTCGGCCGCTTATAGCCTGCTTTTCTAAGACATCGTTTTACGTTTATATTATGCAAACAAGGGATCAAATGTCTCTCCATCCACCTGATGGGATCTTTTTATACACACACTTAGTCGTCCCATTTGGAACAGCTGAATATCTTTTAATAAAGGCTTTGAAGATGAGCTCATGAACTCAAGTTTAATTTTACCAGTTAAATTCTGTCAAATGGAAAGAACTCAATTGTGTAGCAGCCCAATCAGAGCCCATTATTTTGAAGTCATCACCCTGTGGCGCATTCCCCCCTCACCAAAAAACAAACCCTTAAAACTCCAACTTAATTATTCAAAACTTACATGCAACAAAGTGAAAGGACTGATTTTCCTTTCCTCAACTTCTCAACTCTAGGTTTGTTTTAAAAAAAAAAAAAAAAATCCCATCTAAGGAGTACTTACCAAAATCAGGCAGGAAAATAAAAACCTGCAGTTACCAATCAGAGCTGTTCCACTACAACCAAACTGCATACAATTAACATCAATTGGTTCCATATACATTCTAGAACTGACCAGAACATTTATAATAGAAAAGCTGTAAGAAATAGGTTCCTAACTACTAAGTTGTAAATTTCAAAAGGGTATGAAAAACATGTAAATTTGACTGTTTACATTTCAAGGAAATAGACTCTGTAAAAATATATACATTTTTACAGACATACATTTACAAGTCATTTCAAAAATTGAGGATATTCCACATTTTAACTGCAATCATTGAGCCTTAAGTCAAGTATTCTTGGCCATTAACTAGGCTAGTAAACTAAGAATCACTCAAACCAAACCAAAGGTATAAAACCCTTAAACACTCAAACTTTCTTGTCAATAAGTACACCCGGGAAAGCTCATTAAAGGAAAAAAGCTTCCCTTCACACTCTGTTGTACAGTACTGAGGCTTCGAGTCATAGGTCTGTTTCTTGTAGCTTAAATCCACACCACACAGCCATCACTGGTCTTAGAGCATCTCCTTTTAACACTATTAGGAAGTAAATAAACTCGAAGGACGTGTTTACTGAACTATGACTAGCCTGGCTACTGGCCACTCTCCTGTTCTAGACAAGGGAATTAAGTTTCTCCACTCCACCGTCTTTGCTAAATCTCAAGTCCCCCTCCTCCATCCATGGCCTCTCAAAAGTTTGCCTATAGGTAAAACTAAACTTTGCTTCTTTCAAACAGTGACTCTTCAAGGACTACTTTTCCCAAGTATTTATTCCTGTTACCCAGAATCCCCTTGCCACTTGCTTTTCTACGCTTGCTAGAGCAGAACTCTTGGAGGTTACAGCCTGGGCAACTTGAAGTCCAACTTCATAAATACACTTGATTTCACAGCAGTCGTTATGTGGTCTTGGTGGCTGGAGTTGGTTAAGAGTCAATATTGCACTTAAAGGCTACCTTATTAGATATACCAGACCAGCTCCGACTCCAGCAACACCTGCAAAAGCCAGCAGCACATTTCTGATGCCACCTTCTAGGTCCTCTACATGGAAGAAATCCACAAACCCATCCCAGCCTCTTTGTTTGACTAGCCACTCTCGTTTCGTCCTGACCAGGACGTCTGTGATGCTTTCTGCTAACGGGTCGATGCAGCTTTCTTGGTTTATGCTCTTCAAGTGTTTGGCCACAAAGGCACCAAAAGAAATAAGAGTCACAATCCTGCCCCAGTTGGTTACTCCATCGCTGAAAACGTGGACCATCACCCGAGACAAGGACTTGACGGCGTCCTCGCCCTTGATGTCCAGCTTCCGCAGCATGCCTTGGAAGGCCGTCTGGTGGTTGCGCTGCACGCCGTCCCCCGCGTGCCGCAGGGTCTCCAGCGCCTTCCGGCCGGCCGCGCCGGGGCGGTCCAGCAGCTTGGCATCCTTGGCGCCGGTCGCCTGCTCGCGGAGGTACCGGTGTTATAGGACAGGGAGAGGGGCAGCCCAAACCCCGCAAACCTGCCTATTCTACATGGGTTCTGCCATCCGCCGCATCAACACAAAACATAGGAGACTTTAATGGGAAGGAACTTTAATAAAACTAGGAAACAATACAGGTAAGGCAAAGAGTCTAGTTTCTAAATGAAGCACCCAAAGTGACCCGTCCCCTCGTGGGTAAAAGTCCATCCAAATGGGATTGGCCCAGAACAAGGCCCCAAAGCCTGCCACAAGTCTAAAGCACCTTCCAGTGGGGACCCACAGAAAAGGGTCACAAACAAGCAGACAAGCCCGGAAGGAAAAGAGCAAAATCAACATCAAGATAAAAGCTGCCATTGTCACCTCCCCATGGGTCTCACCCACATCTGTGTCACCCCGTCCACGACCAAAAGACAAGCGCAGTTTCTTCACGTGTCTCTAGGCTCCATGAGCCTCCTCCAGGTCTCCTTCTGGCTCCATCCTGCTCCTTCCTCCTTCTCTTCTGCAGCTTCTCCTCCTGCTCAGCTCCACCCTCCCTTGGGTGGGGCAGGGAACCTCCCCCTTTCCTGGGGACCACCCTGTTACACCGGGAGATGATCTCCAGCGCCTGGCGGTACAGCTCGTCCTCCTCCTCCTCTGCCGGCGGCGGCGTGGACGGCCGGGAGCCGTCGGTGCCCGAGGCGCTACCGGCCTCGCCCACCAGCCCGCGCAGGGGCAGCACCGCCGGCCGCTTCCCCGGGGGCTCCGGCTCGTACCCGTCCAGCTCCTCCTCGGGCGACATGATGGCATTGGCGGCCGGCGCTGCCATCTCCTGAGCCGCCGCGGGGGGAAGAGGAACTGGAGAGTCGGAACCTTCCTTTATGACGGCAAGGCCTCTGTAATGACACGGCCCCTCTTTGTCTCCAGCTGACAGGCCTTGAAGAGCCAGAACCAGAGTTCAGCAAGTAGGAACCCCACCGCCCCCAATTTCCACTCCTCCCCCGCCACCACCTGCACGTCCCTTCCAACAAGGCCAGGGCGCAACGGGCCAATGAGGCGCTTGGATAATTGACTCAGGAAAGTTCATTCTGCTGAAATAAACTCGCCCTCTGGAATCCAAACCTTTAACAGCCTTTTGTGAAATTCCTCCTAGGAAGCCAATAACTGCGCCTACTGAGGAATCACCTTTGCCGGGAGGCTTCCAGAGGGCAGGTATTCTCCCCTGCGTGAGGCAAGGGACCACTCTCTGGAGCCTCCCTGGGCCACCACAGCTTTACAGCTCCCGAGGGGAAGCCCCTGGAGTTTCATGGCTGGAAGCTGGGCCTGGGGACCTGGGCGTGTTGCCTTGTAAGGTCTTGAATGGAAATTGCCTCTAAAGAAGGAAGCCACCAGAAGGGAGGATTTCTAAAGCCCTTTGCAGTTTAGAATCCCCCACGTCGAGATGCTGCTGAAAGAAATGGCCATTTAAGGCACCCGAGGATTTAGGACTTGGGAATTCAGATGCTTGAATTCAGATGCTTCTCCGTAAGAACTGGATTTAAAACCAAGACCTAGGCTTCGAAAACTGGCGATGGGCAGGAAGAATCAAGGTGAACTGACAGACAGCAACATCTTTTAGTGTAATTGGAAGCAATTATCATGTAACTTCTGATTCATCAGGGACCCGGCCCACCAGCACTAAGACTTTGAAAAGGAATGTGAGGCTGGCTTTGCTGTTTAACATGAAATTGGAGAGAGAAATTGGTGTCATGGTCTAAGTCCTTCCACTACAAATTAGCAGGTACCCTTCGCTCAAAATATCCAAGGCTTTTGTTGTGGAGCCAAAATTGATCAAAGGTTACTGCAATCTAAAAACAAAAGAAAGAGAGGGAGAGAGAATTCTCCAGTTGCCTGGTTGCTAAGCAACCATAGTCTGTTCTGGTAACTGGGTCCGGGGGTCTTTGCTTTCATTTGCTGCTGACTTTCACTCCATATATAATATATACCAGCATGTTTATTCTCCTGTAAATGCCCAGCAAATAAAAAGCGAGAAAGCCCTTTCACTGAAATTATTCATGTGCTAAAAGCTTTTATCCACATCGCTGGTGTGATTGACAATATCATACCAGCAAGCTTCCCGAATTAGTTCTTGTTCTGCTATTGTACTCCTGGGCTTTCTTTCTTTAATAAAAGAAAAAGAGCTACAGTTTTATTTAAGCTTTCTATAGTCAGGCATTACAGCTCCTCAGCACTGATGATTAAGATGTCATGTCTATTCCAGGCACGTCTTCCTTCTAGCTGCTGTCAACTTTCTAGAGAAACTACCTTTCACACGATATTCCCCCTTAAAAACTTTGGCTAGCCTTCAGAACTAATCTTCGGGAGAGAAGCTGGAGGAGTTATTTGGGAGCCTTTGAGGAACGCGATACCCTCAACGCTGTTTCTCCGAGTGTATTCCAAGGATCACTTAGATCTAAATCGAAAGCCAGGGGCCTGGGCATCTGCATTAGAAGTGCCAAGTCCCTGATCCCCGGTCAGGTAGCTCTGATGCACGCTGTGGTTGGAGAACTGCCTGAAAGGACAGGGGATGTTTCTATTTGCATCAGTGAATCAATCCTAGGAAAACCTGCATTTTAAAATCAGATGTGAGGTCTGCATTTGGAAAAAGGTTTCAGAGGCCCTCAGAAATACCCGATTTCTATAACAAAAGGCACCGGCAAGCCTGGTCCCTACCCCCCTCCAGGAAGGGATGGGAGCCACTGGACTGAGCTTTCATGGTCAAGAAGGCCACGTGGATTGGGTCGACCACCGTCCACATGCACACAGAGGGGAGCAGCTTACTGATGAATCGTGCTGCTGGAAACCCCCACCTGCTCAGGGAGAAAAGGGGGCGAGGGATGGGAAATCCAGAACATGACAGACTTTTTACCCATTTGCACCAAGCGAGTCCCTATTCCAAAGCATGAGTAAATACTCTTGATTCCTCATCTCAACAGTCATCCCTACATTGAACGTTTTTTATCAAATGCCTACTATGTGTCAGGTCTGGCTAGGTCTTGGAAATGGCAACGAACAAAGAGACAAGGTCCCTGGAGGAGGGAGCTTGCACCTGCTCAGGACGCCCTTCCTGAGCCCTGCCTTCTGTCCATGTCTCCAGCCCCATTTCCTCTTCCATCTGCCGGTCCGCAGGCGACTGGGCTTCTGCTTCAGGATTCATGTGGCGCTACATTACACTGTCAGTCTGGAAAAAGCTCGTGCACCTGCGTGTACTTTCAAGCATTTCCCACCTGCTCCGCCTTTCACACATGACGCATCCTTCAAGGCCAGCTCAAGTATCTCCTCTTCCGGAAGTCGCCCCTCTGCTGTCCCACAACACTGGCATCCTCACATCTCCCACCCTCCTACCCTGTGTTGTCTGTTTCTTGGAGTGGACTGCAACCTCCTGAAAGCGATCCTGTGTCTCTTGCATCCTCGATGCTCCTCAGATCCCAGCTCAGAGTAACGTGCATAACTGGGGTTCACTAAATATTAGTTAAATGAGACAGCAAAGGCCACACAGAGAAGCATGCTAGTGTTCTCTGGCCCCTCCTCGCCGTGGCTGCTGGCTGGTGTTGAGTCAGGCCCGTATGCAATAGGCACACAAATATGCCTCTGAGCACTTCTGGTGAAGTAAGTCACCATCATCAGTTCCCCCCCAAGTGAACTTGCTGCCCCACAACTTGGTGGCTTAATGTGGAGTGGGGTTTCTCCTGTTGTCCCAGAATTCCAGTTAAGATCCAAAGCCGAAGACAACACTCTTAGGTAAGAAAACCCACAGCAGTTGGGGTCCTTTTTCGCCAGGTTGCTTGAAAACCCTGCCTATTGTCCCCAACACGATGAACAGGTGCTGCGCTGCTAGATGAGATCAACATTTGGACAAGGACATCCTTTTTAAGCTACTCATCAGCGAAGGAAGACGCAGATTTTTCCCCTACATCCTGATGCGAGGGAGGCAGCTGCATGAAACTTCCTTATGAAAGGTGGGGTGACTGCAACAGGAGAGAAGGCCACCCACAATGCAAGTGTGACAGCAGGTCTCATGAAAATAAGGCACCCGTGTCCCCCAAGATTATCCACATGGTCTCCCCTCTCCTCTACTTCCTTGGAAACTGGCATTGGAACTTGATTTGACTCTAGAGTCTCAACTGGTAATGATACTCTTCATAGCCAACACTTACATAGCACCTTGTACTTTCCAAGGGTTTCCACATATAGTTGCTCATTTAAGTCTTAGCAGGAAATGTAACTTACCCTCAATTAGCCAGTTCGAGGCAGAAACAACTGGCTGTTCTAATTTTTGTATCACTGCATGCTCCTTCTGTTGGGACATGAAACGGGTCTCCTTGTCCACACAGCGCGCAGGGAGGCGTGAGCCGAGCAGGGGTGTAGGTGTGCTTGGGTGGTACAAAGCCATCGTGTCCCATCATTACTTCTTCATCCAAATCTGGAGAATTTTTATAAAAAGTGGTATTTCCATAGGCAGGGTAAGCAGCCTATACAATTACAACAATTTATATCTGAGAAGCTTCTACCTTGTTCCAGGCATTGGACTAAGTCCATGACATCGGTTATCTCTCACCATTTTTTCAACCCTGAGAAGTAGCTTGTCCTTCATAACGGAGGGACCCCAGGCCCAGAGAGGTTGAGTAACAGGTGTGAGCACACCCAGCCAGGAGGTGGTAGGACTGCCACCTGGACCGAGATGGCTCTATTTCTAGGTCAACAATCCTTCAACACTGGATGGCTCATGTCAGGGGATATGCTTGTCATTGTCTAAAACTAGGCAGAGCTCTCGTTTGGGTTACATTGTTACCTGGGAGTCTACTGTTCAAATAAAACCTCTTTACCTTGTGGTAAGAGCTCAAGTTGAGGAGGCCTTCGGGAATGGAATGTTGGACAGATGCTTTGTGATGGAGGAAAGAAGGCTGATGGAAGTTGAGAGATTTGGCCGGATAATAAGACTCCACGATGGAGATCAGGATCCCAGGGGTTCATGAGAGAATATTTGAAAACAGACTAAAATAGATGCAACAAACATCCACAGGTTCCGGTCACAGCATCAAATTCAAATTGCCTGCCACCGGTCCCAGCATCAAATTCAAATTTGGGTGACTAAGAGGCCCTAAGAATCACTAACTCAGAAGTAAAAAGAATCCTCTTGCTGAGTGTGTCTCTCTGAGCATTGTCCCTGAGAAGCCACAGATGCTTTTGCAAGCTCCAAGTGGTTTAAATAGTCACTGCATTCATACATAGCTCTCTTCCAGCGTCATCTTTTATGTGGCATTAATTATTTTTCCTTTTCTTTCATTGAAAAAGCTTTCAACCAGAGAGAATCCTAATTAATTTGAGGCAAGAATAATTTTTCCTACATCTTGCTGCTTCCAGTCTGTGATTAAAAGGAGCAATTTCAAAGTGGGTATCTTCAAACCTCGCATGTAATATTGAGTGGTTCTGCTAAATAGCTTTTAGATGCGCTTGTTCATGTGTTATTTTGATGAGAGCCGGTGATGGTGTTAATTTCTGATAGAATACTGCAGAATGCTGGGTTTTCTTTCTGGCTAATAGATATCTCTGTAGAGAGAGGGATTCTAACACGCCATTTACTCAAATTTAGTGACTCTACCAAGCTATTGCTCACAGTCTCTCCTTTCATATATATATCTATCCAGAATTAAGGATGGAGCCCAGCTTTGCCCTAACATCACAGGTTGCATTATCTTGATTAAAAGTACCAACGTATGAAAGATGGAAGCTAGACTTTTAATGACAAACACAATGTCGCATATGTGGATGTTGATTTATAATGCTGTG